TACCTCAGGATCATGTGAAATCATAGACTGAGCTTTACTGTTAAACACACCACTTCCTATAGTAGTACTTCTGTCAATGTCCAGTGATAGCACCAAGACCCCAGGTGGTGTTGTGGAAAGAGCAATTGACTTGAGTTTGAATCTCCTTACCTTGCATCCAATGGTTGCATGACCCTGGGAGAGTCATTTAACTTCTCTTAGCCTCAGTTTCCTCATCGGCACAAAGGGGATAACCCCTGTAGTGCCTCCCTCAGAGGGCTGGTGTGAGGAGATCAGTCACATACGTGACGTGCTCTCTGCAAACCGGAAGGTGCAAACATTCCCTGTTCTTTGGTCCTAAAGAATAGCAGGCTCTTTCAGCTTGGAGAACATCACCCGAAAGAATTATAGACATATTCTGAAACAATGACAGGTGAATGGAATGATTGCCCTTTGATGAGTTACTTAGCACCACTTTAACATATGAGGTGTGACTGTAATGTAATGATATCAATTTCCATAAGCCATATACAAAAGTCAGCCTCACTTTGTACTTCAGAAGGCAAATTTACACACACCTCTCAGGAAGTTACAAATGTAGTGTTGAGGCTTTATTTTGTTTCTTAACTTGTATTTTAATAACAGTGAAAAACTTGTTTTATCCTTGCTTGGTCAACAACAACTTGACCTATAGATATGCATGTTAATCGTTGTGACACAGCCCACTGAGTTGGGCTTTTTTTCGTCCCTTAACTGTGCTGTTTTAGGTGACTTAAATAAATGCTGCCTGCCTGCTTTCCTCACGGAAGTGAAAATGGATACAGAACAGTAACTCCTAAGAACTTTCGTCGCCAAAGCAAGGCTGCACAAGTCCCCTTCGTCCCATTGTACAGATGGAAGTTCCAGAGCATTTCCACACTCCTTTGTTCTTTCCTCCTTCGCCACTTTCACCGTCTGTCCATTTGACACTCTGTTCTTCATCTCCTTCCTTATTCAGTATCTTTATCTTCCCCCAACTACCTCTTACTTCATCCCCTCCTTCTCTCTTCAGACTCCTTTTCCCATTCCCATTGCCATGCCATTTTCTTCCCTCTACACCTCCTTATTGGTTGTCATTATTGTTGTTTTTATAAATAGTATTTTATTTTTTCCAATAACATGTAAAGATAGTTTTCAACATTCATTTTTTATAAGATTTTAAGTTCCAAATTTTTCTCCCTCCCTCCCCTCCCCAAGACAGCCTGAAATCTGATATAGATTATACCCTACAATCATGTTAAACATATTTCCATATTATTCATGTGAAATTTAAAAAAAAAAAAAAGGGAAAAACCAGGGGGAAAAAAGTGAAAATAGTATGCTTCAATCTGCATTCAGACTCCATAGTTCTTTCTGTGAACATTGATGGCATTTTCCGTCATGAGTCTTTTGGAATTGTCCTGGATCGTTGTATTGCTGAGAAGAGCTAAGTCTGTCATAGTTGTTCATCGCACAGTGCTGCTGTTACTGTGCACAGTATTCTCCTGGTTCGGTTCACTTCACTCAGCATCCGTTCATGTATACAACTCCTTATTTGGAACAGAACCAATCCGAAGACCTCAAGGATGCTAGCATCGGGCCTTCACTGGGCAGAGCCAGCCCCATTGCTAGGACAAATGCATCAGCATCTTCCAAGTTCTGCCTCCATATTTTACTTCCAGACTGTGACGGGAGCAGGCTAGCGGAGAAAAATTTTTGGGAAGGTGAGGAAAAGGAGGGGCGGTGTAGAACAAATGGAGCCCTGTGGCTGGCAGGCACTTAGCAACTCCTCCACATGGGTCTCTAGTCATTTCACTAGGATGTCCTCAGTAGAATTTACACTTGTTGTCCTGAGTGCTGGATGTCCCGTCATCCCCCTTTGCTACTTGATGGCAGTGCCATAGTCATAGGTGTGTGGGGGAGCTATACCAAGCATGTGCTGGGCCATTCCAGTGTGCCAGAGATCCTAGAGCCAGCACTGGGAGCAGTTCTCCCAGGCTCCAGTGCCCCATCGTTGGTGCAGGCATCATAGATACTCTGTTTCCTTCTTCCTCTTGACATTTACTTCCCCTTGGCTCTGGAGAGGGAGGGAAAGGAGACATTCCTGGGGACTTGGTAATCCTGACCCTCTGTGGTGCTACCTCACGTGTCCGAGTGGCACTATTTGGTGGGGCCCCATTCTTGTTAGGGTCAGTCAGGCTCTCTCCCCTCCCCCCTCCCCCCCAGCTCTCAACTCCTAGTGTGAAAAAAACTGAATAGCCATTTTCCCCCTCCTCTGGCCACTTTGTTTTCCTTGGCTTTTTTTCTGTGGCAAGTTGTCCTGGAGCCCTGGCTAATATGGGCAAGAAAGAAAAAAAAACGTATAAACTTTAAAAGGATATTCCTCTGGTCATTAGTCCTTAAATCTCCCCAACTAGTACTTCATGGCCTAGTTTAGAAGTAGGGGAGCAGAGTCCAGTCAGAAAGATTTTTCTATTTTAGCCAGCAAGATAAAGGTGAAAATACTGCCCTATATTTTAAGGTAAGAGGGAAAGTTTGATTAAAAGAATTCCCTTTGTAAAGTTTTGTTTCTTTTTTAATAAACGTTGCCAGGGAGGGGCAGAGAGGAGAATGGTATTCCCTAGCTAAAAAGAACCAGGCAGCCTTAATTTGAGATCTGGAAGATTAAATTTGTCATCCATTTTGTGAAAGTCTCAGTTTGTTTAGTACAACAAGTTCTAAAAAAAATAAACATAGGACATGTCAGGAACTTAAGCAAGGTTGATGAAAGCGTTTATCCAGCTTGCTTTTAGAAGGGAATCCAGGAGGCTGATTAATAAGCACTAAGAGAAGAGAGCTGACACAACACTAGCCAGTGAAAAAACTCTTAAGGACTTGATCTTTCAAAGGTGTCAGGCTATTTGGCCAAGAAAGAGAAAAGAATCACTATTGTGTAGAGAAGGATGTGGCCCTATTTTCTACTTCTTTCTGAGAGCCCTAAGATAAATGAAAGTTCTATTGCCTTCATACCAGATTCATTTTTTTCTCCACTCTCTCTCAGATTCCACTTAAAATTGTTGTTGTGTGTTAGGCTATCTTGTACTTTTGAAAGTTAAAATAATTCAAGATCTTTTATAAGTTCAAAACACTTTGAAATAGATATATATATTCATATACTTAATATTTATTGAATGAAGGTCTGACCTACCTAAATAGATTGCATTGATACTCATTTCCACTGGGATATTTTAATTAGCTACCATTCACAGGCCTACTTTATAGGGCTTTTTCTTCATTCAATTTATTCAGTTTTACATGACTGAAAAATGGACAATTTAAGCCATGTTATTAAGATAGCCAGTTTGGTCTGACCAATTTCTAATTTTGAACCGTTGAACAGTTTTTAAAAAGTGGTTTTCTAATTTATGAGTTTGATTATTTCTGGTTTGTGTATATATAGGTATGTATATATGTATGTATATTTGGTGCATTATAATAGCTATGTAAAAAAAATGTGAGTGAGAACCCTGTGCCATTCTTAGTATGCAAGCTCTGTGACTTTAGGGGTGGAGGAGGGTGGGGGAGAGGAGGAGAAACCAGGTATCAGAATATGAACAAGAAAAACAAAAGAATGAGAAAAGAAAACGCAGAACAGATAAAGAAGGAGTAGGATAAGTGAGTGCTTTACAAATGAAAGCAGATGTATGAAATTACAAGCTGTCGGATCAGCAACGGAAATGAAGATGATAAAGTGGTTCCCTGCACAGATTATAATTATTCATTTTGCCCAGTCCTGCATCCTTTCCCCATAATCCTCATGGGGGAGGGTGAAAGAAGGTACAGCAAGAGAGGATGCTTCCAACGCGAGAGGGAAGGCTGAGGATCCAGAATGTCTCCATAGCCAGAAGACAGTGGGTTATTTTCGCAGTTTGGACTGATCCTATTGACTCGATGTTATTTTCTGCGCCTTCAAAGACATTTTTTCAACTAACTGTTCTGATTGATGAAAAGGACTGTTGTAACAAAAGTGACTGTAAAGTTTCTTTACAATTAGTATTGTTGGAGGCAGTCTGTATACGACACAAAACAAGCATCATTAATAGGCTCTGCTTTGACAGCCGCAGCAGATGGATGGCCTGAATTTAGATGGTGCAGAAGAAATGGAGTAGTTTACATAGACCTGCCTAAAAAGATGTGTTTAATAATTGCACTCATAATTAGGTTGATTTTAAAAGAAATGACAATCTCATAGGCAGCTAGACTTAAAAGGTAACTTAGTATATTCAAATTCTATGAGAAGTATTACATAGGTATGCACTTAAATCTCTTGTTTACCAGGAAAAAACAAATACATTTGAGGAGACATTTTAATAGGTCCGTGTTCTCATGGCTTTAAGTAGGATTTTGTAAGTAGCAAAACAAGAGACATAAAGCACAAAAGTATAGAAAAAGCAAAATATCTATGTCTATTTTATAGTTTGATATGTTTACATATGCCTGCCACACCCTAAAATGATACCTTAAGCCATTAATATAACTAAAAAGCCATATCATCAGTTCAGGGTGCTGCTTGAACAAATATTGAAGGACCTGAGAAAGGGGCTTGACCCATGATTTCCTTGGTGTTGAGGGTTCCCAGGGAAGACCTCCCTCTTCTAATGGAGCTCTGTACCTTCTCTGCAACGTACAGCTTTAGCAAAGTGCCCAGAGCACAAAGAGGCTCAGTGATTCAGCCAGGGTCACACACACGCTATGTGTCAGAGACATGACTTGAACCCAGGTCTTCCTGGCTCCTGTTACCCTAGATTGCCTCAAGAAAGGACATATTTAAGGTGTGAAGACCCGATCACTGAGTCCTTTTATCAACTAAAAAAGAACAATAAGTGACCTTTGAAGATTGCTTTTGTTTTCTTTAACTCTAAGTCAGATCTTATAAATTCAATGATAACAGAAGAGAAAAAAAGAAAAAATTTAGCCAGAATATATTCAGTTGGTGTCACCTCTTTGCCTTTTTTTTTTTTTAGTGATCTCCAGTAACTATCAAACCTGCCTGGGACTTCTGATGCATTATCCACCAATTGGGGATGTACATTCACTTATCCTCAGGGCCCTTTTCCTTCGAGATCCAAAGGTAAGTCTTCCAGTTAAGAAACTGATGTTATTGACTTGGGTGGTGGGGTTTTTTTTCACATAATATAAAGAATTCCTATGAAGTTCACCCCTGAGTTGATGATAAGCATTTGTCTAAAGTTTGTAGACCAAGGAGAAGCTGTCACTGACTTCAGAGACCAAAGATGCCGCAGTAAATTGTATTGAAAGGTGTCACGTGAAATGGAAGAATAAGTCTCGGCTTCTTGCAAAGGGCCTGGTGGCGCCTCTGTGCACTGCTGCTAACTCAAGCAGATCATTCACAACGACCTCCCCATACAGCCACATCTCATCTTTGACGTCCCTCACGGGGGACTGTGTGCCAAAGTAGAGCCTGGAGGGCAATAGGAAGACCAGCAAACTCTGTCTGGAAAACAGATTCGCATTTACTGGATACTAAAACCCTGAATTTATTTAATCCAAAGATTATGCTCTTCTAAATCTTAGAGTTAGCAGTATTCAAATGGGTATTTAAATGGGCTCCAAAGCAGATTTGCCCTATGAAAGATGATAGCGTTGCACAGAAATTTTCTTTACACTTCATAGAAAAAGTGTGCACTTTTACAACTAATGTTATATTTCTTGAAAATAAGAACATTTAATGATCTTGAAAAAAAAAATCTGTGAATCCTTGCTGGTTTTTGAGCCAAACAAAAATATTGGCTGAAGTGAGAGAGAGAGAAAGAGAGAGTGCTCAAAAATGAATGTAAGGATGCCAGGCATTGGATGATAATCGCAGCCTTTGGATCTTTGGCACACCCCCCAAAACAGTTGTGCTGGCAGCTTTGGAATTGTCTTTGAGTCAGTCTGTCAGTTGGTTGTGCTGCCAAAGCTGTCTCTGAGCTACCCTGGCCTCGAAGTTCAGTGCCCTTTCGAATCTGAAAGATTTCTTCACTTTCATCCTTCGCCTGCTCCTGTCCTTGCTTCAGTCATCCATTCATTCTTTTATGGATTCAAAAATATTGTCTCCTTGTAGCAGTAGCAATTTTCTGCAGAAATATGTATTTTTGCATCATTTCTTTTACCCACAGAAATTTCTTTGAGCATCAGAAATATAATCCATCATTTCTCTGATATGTAAGAAGTGCACGTGGTTTTTGAACGATTTAGGTGGTGACCTATTAAATCAGTTCCAAATTGATTTTCCTGTATTTTGGTTACAGACAACAGTATTAATAGATATTTGTAAAAAGGAGACTAAAGGTAGACTAAGAGAATCCATGCTAAACCACCAAATTAGAAATCCTACCTTTGTAGTTTTTCAAGTGTAATTCAGGAGGGAAAAAAAAGAGTGTCTTAGCTAAAACCATCTCTCTTGGTAATTTGTTCCCTAGAATAATGGAGTTCTGCTTCCCATGAATCACTCACCTTGTTGTAGGATCTTACCTGGGTCCATCAGTATGATTAGTGAATCCAGGTGCTTTTTCATGTTTCTGTGGCTTTAATAGAATTATTTTCATGGGCACAGAAGTAGAGTACTATACATATTATGACAGAGGATAATAATGTAAAATCTAAAGGAAGTAACTAAACAAAGTACAATTAAATCTTCCTCTAAAGGGGGGGGGGAGATTCAGCTTCTTAACAAAGGGAATTCCTTCATTCATATTCAAATAAGAGCATCCCTGATATTGAACCAAAATACACAACAGTATTACAAAGTAGAAGATGTTAAACATGAAAGTCAAAGCCTAATCTATAAACTTTGGGGAAGGTCCAGAGAATTAGGTAAAAGGAAACAGATTCAGATGGTTCTCTGAGAGTCAGTCCATTGCATGACATTCATACAACACTGATGGTGTAATGGTGAGAAAAATAAAAACAGACAAACCATGTCATAATATGGAGACCCAAAATGTCAAAATGGCAAGGGAGGCACTCTGTTTCCATGCCTGTATTAGAAACATAGCCCCTTGCCCAGGTTCACTAAATGAAAACTAGTAGCAGAAAAGAGTAAATGGAATCTATCAGACTGAAAATATCCCAAGGAATGGATAAGTTACCTATTTGTTTTTAAAGTGGAATGTGATCATTCTTAACAGAATTGATTTGATGGCGAAATTTTTCCAGTTCTACTGTACATACTTAAGTGTAAGAGCTATAGGATAAGTTTACCTTAATTTATAGGAAAACACAAGGGAAAAAAGTAATTTAGCCAAAACATAATAACAAGCTGGCATTTATATAGAGGTTTAAGGTTTACAAAGCATTTTACAAATATTATCTCATTTTTATTTTCACAAGAACCCTGAGAGGCTGGTGCTGTTTTTCCCCCATTTTACAGAAAAGGAAACTGAGGCAGATATCAGTTAAGTGGCTTTCCCAGAGTCCTATAGCTAGTGTCTGAGACCAGATTTTAATTCAGGTTTTTCTGACTCTAGGCCCAGTGTGCTGTCCATGGTGTCACCTAGATGCCTAGAAATTATATTTTGTTTCATTTTTTTAGTAATTACTAATTTCAAATTACTAATTGTAGATCAGTAGGACTAAAAAAATTTCAGCTATTTTCCCCACAGAAGGCACCTATGTAGAAGTGAAACAACAAAAAGGAAGATTAAGATTAGTTGCACAAATCCCGCATCAATTAGTTAGTTAAAAAACGAGATTTAAAGTATGAAATCACCACCACCTCTATACCAGGTACAAGTGGCAGTCAAGATAATGGCATTTTGCATTACAATACTGTAATGACAGCATTTTTTGCCCTGTAACTATCCCCAAACACCAGAAGACACTGATAAATTGAGAACACATAAGTTTTTTAAATATAGGTTTAATTGGTTTTCATTTTTTAGCAGAAATTTGCCAGTTATTTGGCAAATGCTGCTTATTCAACCAAACTAAAATTAGTAGTTATTATAGACTTCAGTCAGAGCAAACACATATTTGTCTGTCCTCCCAACAAATTTCATAGAATCTCAGTTGGACTAGGTCTCAGCAACCATCTAGTTCAACCTGTGTAAGAAAGCTGGGTGCACAGTGGATAGAGCACCAGGCCTGGAGTCAGGACTGAGCCAAATCTAGACTTAGACACTCACTAGAAGTGTGACTCTGTTTGCCTCAGTTTCATCAACTTTAAAATGAGAATACTAACACCACCTGCTTCTCACGGTTTTCATGAGGATCAAATGAGATTTTTGTCAAGCTCTTAGCACAGTGCCTGGCACATAGTAGGCACTTTGTAGATGCTTATTCCTCCCCCTTCCCTATTCACCATACCTCTAAAACATCCCTGACAAATGGTCCTTTGCTTGAAGACCTCCAGTAAGAGGGTTTCTTCTTGAAATCATTTTTAAACACTTATTCAGAATTGTGACTAAATAGATTATATAAGTGGAAGACAAAAGAATTAGGCATCATGAGCTTAACATGCCCGGCTCTTTCAAGAAGTCCTTGTGTGACATCTAGAAGCCCTTCATTGCCCTGGATGGGCCCTGTTAGTGTAGTTTCCCTCCCAAGGGTGTCCAGAACATAGCATGGTATCACAGATGTGTCTGAGCAGGTCAGAGGGGAGCATCCAGAGAACACCCTTCCTAGCCCTGGGTGCTTAGTAGCCCACGTCCTCATTAGGTTTGGGGCTGCCTTATCATGCTGTTGTCTCCTGTCAAGCTTGCAGCTGGTATTGAACCACAATGTACTAAAACATTATTTGAAATTTAAATGTTTCTTGATATACTTTAGTAAAACTGGTCAACATTGATGAACTCTTTTGAAAGTGATTATGTAACAGACAAACAAGGAATGCCAGGGGGTACAGAGGAAAGTTTAAAATAATAGTCTATCAAAAGATTAAAAGTAACTGAAGCAGTAGGACCTAGAATTCTTCAAGGAATATTGGAGGATTGAAATGTGGGGCTTAATACAGCAGTCTGCCAAAATTGTCCCAGTAACCTAAAGCACATTAATCGAGTAGCATCGACAAAGGACTCTGGTGTCTTCTCAGGGCAGCAAGAGCTCTTGGAACCATGAATAAGGTGGAGAAACGAAGAAATAGGCTCCTGGACAGCTTGGTAGGAAAGCAGAAATGCTGAGACCCTAAGAAATACTGTTTTACTAATTAATCTGATGTTCTGTGTACTTAATGAACTGTACCAATATCACTCCTACTAGAGGACAAGGGACCACCGAGGGTTCACTGAAGACACCAAGCACATCCTGTTAACAAATTAGGTTTAAAAACATTCTGCCACCTTCTCTTCAAAGTTTGTTTTCCTGCCTTTTCTTTCTCATCTTTCCATCTTTATCTCTATCTTTCACCTCTTCTAATTGCCTAATACCATATTGTTTGCAAGAAATTAATTATTTCTGAGATACTTTAGACAAAGGAATGAAGTTACTCCTACTCCCTCCTTTTCTAATAGTAGATAGTATGAAAATCTCTTCTTACTCCTGATCTTTGTTGCTTAGTGGGCGTAGGGATGGGGTGGATAAGAGAGAGATAATATGTGAAATGTAGGCAGTTATGGAGTCCTTAGAGTGAGTCATAACATAAAAACACTGGAACCACTGCCCAAAATATTTGTAATAAAACCACGTGGTTAAAAATCTTACAAATACCGTGAATCTTTGTCTAGACTATCAATATATATAGATGAGCACGGAACAAGAGAGATAAATTTACCCAGGCACTTAAAGACAGTAATTTGTTGTTTTCACCTCGGAATTGAGGAGTAGGGGGGATTCTATAAGAGACTGAACCACAGGGATTAGAGATTCTGAACCTTGGTGGTTGGAATTCTCCTAGCAAGCTTTTATCTTTGAAAAGAAACATATTTCAGCCTATGGTAAAATGATGAATGGAACTTCATATACTTAGGTAGTCTGTTTGTTTGAGGTTTATGAAAATCTATTCTGTGCGAAGAAATGGGACGGCAGATACAGACTACTATATGAAAAATTGTCACAGACTCTTGTACCCCGTGCATCGTAAATATGGCTCGGAGGTTTCTCTTGTCATCCTCCTGTCCTAATTGTCTCATTTTC